TGTTACGTGATTTGAGTGCTTGTATAACGTGATCTATTGAGTGACTGCTACAGACCTACCATGTCCAATGGGAGCATTGTTCCCTCAAGTGCTGTGAGAACAGTTGGTGGTGAAAAGTTTGCGGCCCAATATCAGTTAAGCAAACAACTGAAAGCCTGACTGCACTGACAAACAGTAGACCGTATTTCACGAACAAAAGTCTCCTACTAAGAAGGCCCACCTTTGTTCAACGAAGACCGTGGGGCAACGGATAGCCTTTGGTGATGAGTGGATATTTTTCCCGGGTTGTGAGGTATGTCCCGTCCATGCTGGTGACAGAACGACGTCTGCCCATCGCGGTTTGAAGTTAACCATCATAGGGAACAAAATCGAAAGAATGGAGACGATAGCTGTAGCCAACAGTTAGTCGTTAGTCGGTATTCTCCACAGCTTCGCTCCGACAGACAGTGGTATCACTTTTATCTTCACCGTCATCTTCCCTTGAGAAGCTTCGAGTTCAGTCAGGAGCAGGAAGGATCATATGAACCCTATACCGGAACACCGACGGCACCAGATTTTTCTTGGAACAACTGAAAATAGCTTCAGAATAGATTGTTCCCTCAGCCTGTCCTCTGATGCAAGTTGCTTACACGAATGGATGCCTAGCGAGCTTAGATGACAAAATGTCCCGCCTTTTTGCACCCATCTGAGAAACTCACATCAATCGATCGCTATCATAGATGTCATCTGCACTCCCGCTTCACTATTTTATTACTCTACTTGTTTAGGTCTTTTTTGTGGGGGTTAGCATTTCGATTGTCCAGTCGGTATGCATCAAGTAGTCACCTAGTACTGACAGCTGAGAGACTCATAGATGGTCGTTCAGGTAACCTTGGTTTGCATTTAGTCAAGTCATCAACAAAGTTAGTCGTTCGGCTAGAGGAATGCATAAGAGCAATACACATCCGCTGTCCCGACCTATCCATACTAAAATGGAAGCTCCTTTCAGAATCGGATAGGCTCCGACAGTAGTAGGGTGTTCCGTAGCTTTCACATAGTTGTTTTCTGTGGTCTACTATTCGTTTCAAATAAATTCTACTCGTTAACTTCTTATGTAAAAGAAGTCCTGAGATATATATACTACTATAAAGCACTCAAGTACCAATTAATTAGTCTTCCACTAAATTGCATCTATGTTTATTTATGAAGTGTTGTTTGGAGGCTTGAGTTATTTTTTAGATATCTCGTGGCATCTTCAAAGAGCAACAAGCTCGACAGGGAAGACGTGGGCAACCTTCATAATTTGAGGGCTGTTGATATTTCAAGAGAAGCATACAAAACCATGTACCCGAGAGCAAAACATTATGGGCTTACTAGACAGATTAGTACCACACATGTTCTCTGTACCAACGGTGAGTATAGTTAACTGACCTACGGAAAATCATCTTGCTAGACATTCACAGAGAGTCCGCAGTCTGCACCCGAAATGGGATCGGATGGGTTTAAAAGACCCCTATAAATCGAAGGTCTAACGTTCTGTTTGGAGGACAGTGTTACACAGTCATCGATATTTCTGCTTCAGGAAGAAAATCCAATCAAGAACATGGTTTCAGAAAGATGGGTTTTACGCGATGACACACTTCTCCCGATCGAAGAGAAGGAGGTCACTTTGTGCTTTCAGAGAAGGACGGATTTTGTACTACACAAACACCGTACGGGTGCAACCTTTGAGTCGGTTTTTTCGATCGAATGCCAGTGGAAACTCGACTGTATGTAAGCTCTACTGATGCACACCAGCTCCAAGCATGAAGTGACCCTTTTTAACTGAAATAGGCTAGGCCACACACAACTGCTTAGCCAGAGAACAGAACATCATTCACAAGAATGTGGAATGAGAACAAAAAGCTTGGACATTGTATGAAACGGTGAGCGACGTCTTCTGAGTCATTTGTTGTAAATCAGCACGTCTTCAAATCCAGTGGACATCGTGGTATGAGGAACGTAAGAAAATGAGGGTGACAGTTAATTAGATCTATGTCAAACAAAAATAGCTTTTCAGCTGAGAAGTCAGTGCAAGAATCTCAAAGACTCGAATCACGTTTGCTAATTTGCGTCACTTGTGGCGTCAAAAAGGCATCTCACTGGATCTTAAGGGTCGTGTGTATCAGACTACGGTAAGGGTTGTGTTGTTGTATGGGTGCGAGACATGGCCTCTTCGGGTAGATGATGTGAGTCGGCTTCAGGTTTTCGACCACCGATGCCTCAGAAGCGTGGCTGGTTGTGGATGGCGTCAGCGTATCAGCAACGAGGCGATTAGAAAACGGGTATTTGGTTGTGCTGCAGGCACCTCAATCCGGGAAAACATCCAGCATCATCGACTACGTTGGCTCGGCCATGTGCTACGCATGCCAAAACACCGTCTACCGAGACTAGTGTTGTTCTCCGTGTCTCGTTCAGGATGACCCAAACCGCGAGGTGGACAGCACATGGTTTGGCAGAAAGATATGAAAGAGATCACGAAGAGTTTGGGTGATGTTGGTGTTGTACGCCTTCCAGGATGGGGTCCCCCTGACATCCCCTATTCTTGGCCGGAGACATTGCAAGAAATGGCAGCTAAGGTCACTGGCGCTCGTGCTGTCAGTTTCTTTCCAGATTGTCTGATTGAGCAGTTGGAAGTGTAGGCACCTCGGAATGCTTGACATAGGCCAGCACTAGGTCCTCTCCCCCACCCACTCTTTTCCCCTTCTTTCCAACGTAGACGAACCTTATGGTTGTATGGGAGTGAAGTATCAGTGTCAAAAATGATGTTGCTGTCTCTGATGCTGCTGCTGCTGATTGTGATGATGATGATGACTAAGAAAGCAGCTTCAGTTTATGATGCTAATTGTATTGAACCATTCAAGAACGAGGTTCATTTGATGTTCTTTGCGGTTCGAAATGCAAACTTTTAGTTTCCACTCCAACCACGCAAACACTCATGAGTCCGATCAAAAATATCATAGACCAGGGATTCACGCTAAACAGAACAGGTTTCGAAAATTGATACTGAACTCCAGCTACGTGCGATTTGGTGGTAAATAAGACTAACTGTCTCCACCGGTCGTTTACCAAAGCTCTCTGAAAGGATGACTACCCAATCGGCCCCAAACAGTTTCCAATTGATTAAAACTGATTGTCATTTCTCGTGAACTCTAAAGAGCCGAGACTTATGATGGGTTGCTCAAAACGTTTAGGCAAAAGGTCGAATGGTTTTCGGGAAAAATAACTCATCCTCGATAGATGACTTGATCACACTGCATAGGTTGCGCTGGCTTGGCCACGTGCTGCGTATGACAGTCGACCGACTTCCTCGAAGGGCTCTTTTCGCACAACCACGTGAAGGGTGGCAGAGAGCCAGAGGCGGTCAAACAATGATTTGTCAGTGAAGTATGAAAGCTATTACCAGCAAACTCAACTGCGCTGGTCATTGCCATCTTCGGACCCCAATACGGGCCATATTAATGCTTACAGACATTGTCGGACATGTCCCATTCGCGCCCTCAGTGGCGCTCGTGCATCCAAGCTATTGTCTTCAATGCATAGCTCCCTTCGAAATTCAACGACTTGACAGTCCACTTACGGTGCTGTGTTTGCGCACTAATTTATCAGCTACTGCCTCCAATGCGCAGCTACCTACCCCTCCCTCCTGCCACCTCACAGCTGACAATGATGATGATGATAATGATGATGATGATGATGATGATGATGATGATGATGATGATGATGATGATGATGATGATGATGATGATGAGACAACAGGTCGGTCAACGTGTGACCCAGGAATTAAAAACCTGAAACGGTAATCGAAGAGGAACGTGTCCGACTCGCACCGGTTACACCAGACCAGTTTACGTAGAGATGAAAACTCTCCTGCAATAGAGCTTTTCAGGATCAAATCTATCTGACTATCTTTTTGTGAGGGAACAAAAACTTTTATACTTCAATTTCGGACCATCCTAACCAGAGCATCTGTGCAGCGCATCATTTTGTTTCATTCGAGCCTCAACATCTCAGCACAAGTGTTTGGTTGTTTCTTTCGTCCGCACAGCTTAATTTGCACTTTATTTTATTTTACCCCACTTTTTTTAGTCCAGTTTGTCCTGTAGTTAGAAGCTAGGTAAAGATCAATAAGTAATTGCGTTTATACAACTTTTTCTAGTACCATTTTAGTTGTCCACTCTTTTTAAATGACCCGTTATCATGCTGCTTACTGTTTGACTTACACTGTACAAACAGTGATGAAAAGGGAGTAATTTACGCTTAGCCCTTGGGGTACGTGCGCATTTTCCCACATCTTACGTCGTCGTTGTTGTTTCCGCACTCCAATCAGTCGCCATGGGTCGATTATCCGCCAGCGTGTTCTCCCTTCGTGAACCGCCGTGATTACAGACACTCGTAAAGAGTGCCTGTTACGCATCCATCGCTTGGCTCATCGATCGCACACAGCTGTTTTAGTCGGATTCTCGAGTTTTCCCATCTCCCCAGGTGAATCAGTACAGAACGTAACAGTAACCGTGGCTGGTCGTCAGCCGGCGCTCGGTCAGTCGATAGCCGCTCGATCAGTACGACGGACAAACATGTGTTGGCTACTGGGCGTGCAGTGTGTGCACGTGTGCAGTGTCCGTGCACGCGTGCGTACGGGATGTCTTGGCTACGTGTACAACAGGGGAGCGAGTGTGACCCGGAAGCACTGACGGTATTTGAAGGTTAGCAGCTGGTGTCTAGGTGACAAGGCGGGCACGAACCTTTCCATTCCACTGAGTGATGTAATGTGTAAACAAAAGACCAGTTGGCTGTAACCATCATCAGCGTGTGCAGGTGGGGAACATCGCATAGCATTGATAACCGTGATAGTGGGATGCCCAACGTGTACGCGCAGATATTTGGATAGTTTATCTGATTTCCCGTTTCTTCTTACCATTTTTTGTCGTTGTGCCCATGCCTTAATCAGGTACCACAACCTTGCGTTTCATTACATCCAGCTTCTCAGTGCATTTCATGGATGAAACCGACTTTCGTCAACAAATACAAGTATACACCTAAATTTTCGTTTCGTTGAACCATGTCTTCTTCTTCTACCGGTGGATTGTTCCGACGTTCCTCCTTACCGACTACTAATCCCGCGACCTCTGACAGTCAGGAATCTACTCCAGGAACGCCAGTTCCTTCGGGTGGACAGAAGAGCAAAAAGGAATGTTTTGTTTTTGAACCGCAGCAGTGGCGGCGGACTGTGTGTAAAAACTGCTTCCGAACACAACCAGAACATAGACTGTCGACAGGAAAGGACGATGGTCCCGGTGGGCCGAATGTGGTTCTTCGACGGACAGATAGTATACCGTCTCAGTCATCCAATCCGACCGCTACACAGCACGCTCAATCCGATGTTGGCGCGGATTCGACCAGCAGGCATTCAGAACACAAAACCGCCACTGGGCGGGATAACGGTCGTAACGGAACTGCCTCATCCGGAAATGCGGCGCGTGCAACGGCTCGTAAGCTGGCATCTGGACAGAGGTTAGTCGATGTGATTTCCCATCTTTTTTTGCAAACACTGTTTCAGTTCAGCCCGAAGCTGATCGGGCAAACCAGTCATTATCTCAAAATAACTCAGCAGCTAAGGCGCGAAAACGCTGACCTACATATCTGTGGTTCTAATCCAACCCCGGTTTTTTGACTGCTCCGGGCTAGAAACTTGAGAGTATTCGAGTCCTCGCCATTTTTTTGAGTTACACGACAACTGTGCGTCGAAGGGCTTTCACAATTGAACATTCCAAAAGATAGTTACGAGGCCAACAGATCTACCTGGAGCAAATTAGAGTAAAGCAGTATTTCTAAATTTCCAGATTCTGAACATCAGGGAACGAAACTCGTTTGAACGTCACACACACTGGTGTCGAGTGTAGCTTCCGAGCCAAAGGTTCCTCTAACTCACTGCCCTACACTTTCTTAGGTAACGAAATTTTGAACGTTGAGCATATCACGTACAGCAATGGTTTCTAATCTTTTAAACTCGTCACTGTTTTCTATAGAGGAAAATGTCGGTAGCTCAGGTAGTGTAGATGGTCGTTGGCTTGTTTGCTGAGCTGGGCTGAGCTGAGCTGAGCTGAGGTGAGCTCAGCTGATCTGAGCTCAGGTGATCTTAGCTGTGTTTGTTTGTGAAAATTAATCCGATTTCAGGTGGCCTCCTTATAAACTCGCTGTATCTCCCACATATTAACCAACCATTATCCATGCCCCGGTTTTTATGTGCGTTCGGTAAACAACAAAAGCAGAACAACCCAAAAGGAACGGTGTTAAATTTCGTGTCAAGTTCCGGTAACGAACTTGTAGATAAGCATAAAAATCAACGGTATTTCGGTAGGATTATTTGTGCTTCTATAGGTTCGAAAAATATCCGATAAACAACAAGGTGTATGAGAATAACTAAGCGATATGGCGGACACTTTGTTGCCTGATGTGCGAGTCTTGACTGTGCTAGCGCACACTGCGCCTTGAAGAGCATTCACCATTGTTTGTCCTTTCTTTGGTTGTTGGTCTTTAGACGCGTGTTCCCATACCAAAATCTTTACATACTTTGGGATTCACCTCATCAGACTGGCACTGCCCTTGGCATGATCTCGGATGAGACGTTTCTCTCTTTTCTCCCATATTCTCCTGTTACTCTTTCGCATTCATCGCTTGCATTCATTTTTTATGTTTGTGACAATGCACTTCAAAAATAAATGATAGTAGGAAAGGTTAGGAAAGTCTAGGCGATTGAGGTGTGTGCAACAGAGTGGGAGCCGGATCAGAAAGCAGACTGGTCCGTTGGATTCTGTTTAATTTTCCACGTTTAAGAAGTGAGGAAGTGGGGAGACATCATGAGAGGCTAGAAAGAGGAAGAGAGGTAAAGGAGGAGAATGTTCAAGTCTCGCTTAATAGCTTAACCGGAAAAAAGCTGTTGCTGAAACCATCTTCTCTTCAACCTACAGGTCCGGTTTCAGTAGCCTGATTGATTGCCTCTGGGCAACGGGTAACCCTAGAGATCTATTCTGGCGGTTAAGGCACCGAAAAGCATCCAGTTCCCCACGTCCTTTGGCATCCAGGAAACGTCCCGCTGTATGTGCCTCGGGCTCTTTCTCAACAGCCTCAAAAGGCTGCTAGGGTGTGTCTTGAAGGGCATGCGGCCAGCTGCCTTCCTGTTCTACGTACTTACAAGCTTCCAGGCGAAAACTCACATGTATGAACAGATGTAGGTGACAAGAATGGATCGACTACCTCCTACAGACGGTATGACGATGCTTGTTCTATTTGGACATATCAAGTGGATCGCTCTTACATAATTACTAATCTAAAATGGATGAATCTCAAAAGGAGATCACTCCTAGACAAAGTAAAGCATCGTTCGTGGTTAGGCATGATTCATTGAAAAACAGATTGTGTCCAGGAGAGAGTGTATGTCAATCTTCCACGTTGTCTTACATCTCTCTCAGAGTTCTGAACGCAAAGACAATGACCCAGACGGTTATTTTTTTAGGATGGACACCAAAAAGAGAGTCTGAAAACGTCTAGCTTATTTGGAACTGAACTGTTATCTCCCTCGGTCGAGTAGGATTTTGATAACACAGCAATCCACAGATTCAATTTTTCCACAATACACTATGACGCTATTATCACACTGTATTCTCCGGTATTTTCACCAAAATGTATCAATCGTTATTGCTCTACAAGCCTGACCAAGTGTGACTTATACAGTGCGATCATATAGGTCCTTTCAAAAGCCTCTCTGTGAAACGAACTTCTTGCCGACAAAGTAAACCTGAAGACGAGTTTACAAACAGGTTTGCTTTGTACAACAGTGAGCATATTTCGGTATTTCCTGTTTGCTTCGACTCATTCAGGGACTACGAACCGCAGGTCCGTGGCAGTAGGCATCGATGAATGCGAATGGTGTCTTGTAGAACGATGTAATGTTCGCCAACTGGATGGTTTACACATGAGAACTCGAATCTACATTCTGATGAGCATTTTGATGCAAAATGACCGCAGCTATGGAACACACGGATGCTCCGCTCGTGCTCCACAGTATTCTACCCCCCCTTTGGAAACTATTGTCCAAAGGATCCTCACTGAGTTGGAACCGAGTGGAAACAGCGATGGAAATTGCCAATGCAGACGTTTGGCACACTGAATCATCTCGGAGTGTCGGAGAGCAGGACAATCTATACATATGCTTGAAATACATATTTGATGATCCTCAGGTGCAAAATTCAAACACACCGCTTATGCAAATCTATTTCGTTACACAACTGACACTTGGCTTGCACTTTAGTGCTTATGTCAGATCACTCAGGTCCGAACGAGGCTAGAGGCCAAACTTGCATGTATAGGACGATATCATCAAAAATGTTACATTTTGGATTTTCCTTTTGTTGAGAAATAATGACGCAAATTTTAGTTACTTCTCCGAACGCTACGCACATGTTTACGCACTTTGACGGCACGCAGAGAGTGAATTCAGGGTTCACCTTCAGATTTAGATTCCGAGGAGCGAGTGTAACACCGAATGATGGAAGATTGGTCAATCTTCGGGATGAAATAGGAGAAAATTAATTCAATGAAATGAAATGCTTTACATTGAAAATATTGAACCCATCCAACGCTCTTCATGACAAGATAACGCATGACAGATGAGGTGAATGCACGAATCTGCAAGGCTCGGGCCGCGTTTGATAATTTGAGGCATCTATGCTGTCAGAATGGTTTATCCCTGAATCTGAAGGGACGTATGTATCAAGCTGCGATGGTACGAGCTGTTTTGTTGTATGGCTGTGAAACTTGGCCTAATCGAGCAGCGGAACTGACGTCTTCAAGTGTTCGACAATAGTTGTCTCAGAACCATAGCTCGTGTGGGTTGGTATCGGCGAATCTGTAGCGAGGTAGTTAGAAAATGTGTTTTCGGTTGTACGACGGGTACTTTCATTGAAGAGTGTGTCCAGCACCAGGAGCTGCGCTGGTTGGGAAATGTGTTGCGTTTACCTAACCATCGTCTGCCAAAGAGAGTGAGTGCTGTTTTCCATGCCCAACTCAGAGTGGCGTAAACAGAGAGGTGGACAACTCTTGACTTGGCAGAGGAGTATGAAGGAGATCACGAAACGCTTGGGTGCTGTCGGTGCTACTCGCCTTCCAGGATGGGGACCGCGTGATCCTCACTGTTCCTGGTTGGAGACACTACTAGATATGGCCGCCAACCGACATCAGTGGCGTTCTTGTTGTCAGTTTCTATCCAGATCGCCTGAGTGAGTGTCTGGAGGTATAGGCACCTCGGAATGATTGTGGTAAGCTAGCACTAATTCCCTTCCCCGTCCACCTTTATTTTTTTTCTTACAATAAGGATTTCAAATAAATCGTGGTTGTACGGCACTGAAGCATTGGTGCTGAACACCGATATCATGCTGACGAAAAAAATGACAAAGATAACACCTGTAAACTAACTATCCATAACTCTTCAGCAAAAATGGACGCGGTAGGCACTATTGGAGCATAAAACACGTTTTAGCACGTGATTCTAGTGGTTAATTCCTTGATTAATAAAACTCCACGAGACGGAATGCATACTGATTTTCTTAGCTGGTGGAAAACGTTATTCTGAAAGACAAACTAAAGCGCTTACCGTGCTCTTAGCCAGCGTCTGATCACCGAATAAACGAAATGCCCATGAAGTTTGTAGTAGATCTGATCACGAATTACGTAGGTTCAAGTGTTCAGCAGCAATACTGTGATTTGAGCAAACGTGGGTGAAGTTAGTCGTCTGTAGATTTAAACTTAAACTGGTCTCCAAGACGAACCCTGGGCAATAGTTGTGGCGAGTGGAATCTCTCAAAGTCCAACACGGCAAAGGTGTATGCAAGATAGGACTGAAATGGAGAGACTGCTTGGTATCGGTCAAACAGATAGTTCTTTCCCTCGATTTGATCATCATTTCATCTAACCTTCCGTCTGACGCCGTATTCCGTCTGGCCACTGTACGCATCTCTGAGAACCTCTACTTTATTTTAGCATATCCATTCGACTACCCCAGATCCTCCCCAACTGTTTGGTTATCGTGGTGCTTTTTTAAGGTGAGGTACTAGTTTGATCCTCTAATTCACTTGCTATTACTTCCGCCTGCTTTGAATTCGTCTGACTCATCACCATCATCGAAAAACATGAGATTTGCGTTCAACACGGATGCTTCGCTGACTACGCGTCGGGCCTGCCCTTCCTCAAGAGGATTCCCTCGAATCGTCGGTTTGGCTTTCGTGTGTCTGCCGCCCGTAAACTGAACAGACAAAAATGTAACAGGACACGAAACAAAACGATTAAGGCGCGGATTCCTGAGCCCAAAGAATCGGGCCCCAAACCGATTCCTGGCATTTCGATCAATTCTCTTTGAGCTGGATTAACCTGAGACTACCTCAACCGGCTTTGAGTTATGCGGCGGCTACAAAAGGGCACTACGTTGAACCCTTATTGTGCGTTCACTTGTACTACATCCATAATTTGTGTATCAATCGCATCTGATTTTTTAATAGGCTACGTCCACTGGTTGCTGGCCAAGCCCAGTGGGAAATAAGACAAAATTTCGGTGCCTTTCAGGCTTTTCACCGTAAAGAATGAGCGACGCCAACGAACCAGACGAAGATGACGTCGTCATAATCTTTAAACAAAAATGAGAAGGTGCAAACAACCCGTTCTTGGTTTGCGAAATTTCCTGTGTTTCAGTGAATAAAATTTAAACAGAGTTGAGAATGACACAAATTTCAGGTACTCCTAAAGTATGTGGGGCTGTTCGGTAATGTTCCCGACTCATCGAACGACGACCCAATAACTGTACTGGTTGATTGGGTTAATAACCGGATGGTGTGGGAGATACCACTGCTTTGAACTTAACAGATAGCACTCGCACGCTTGAAACCCACTGGGCAACTTTTTGGTTGCAGTTTCGGGGGTTTCGCGGGATAGGTAGTTTGTTCGTATTCACACCACTCTCGTTTGAACGGTTGTCCTCCAGTTCTGGCGCAATTATTCCGGTGAGTCCACACCAAAGGAAAACACTGGACGCCAGTTTCGCTATTATTAGAGCTCATCAGTAGTGCATATCCAATGACCGTGCCCGGACATCTGGCATGCGAGGGGAGCGTGTAACAGCTACGCATCTGGATTTTCACGTCTGAACAGGCGAACGTGTTCACGCTTGAGCGATGTGGTGAGTGTGCTCGACTCATCGAACGACGACCCAGTAACTATGATCAAAATATCTATCCCGCAGAACCCAGAAACTGCAACCAAAAAGTTGCGCAGTGGGTTTCAAGCGTGTGCCACGCTACCTGACTGGGAAGTCCTGACTGTTCGGAAATGACTGGTCAAAACAGTGATGGACGATATACACGAATATGTGTACTAGCCAACGAAGGGTGTGTAAGTGACGTAGCAGACATTACCCATAACGATAAGAAACATCTTGAGTGAAATGCCAAGCACTCATGGGCTTCCTTTATAGAAAATGGGAGTCTTGTCTGAAACTGTTAGAACTAGAAGTAATTTGTCACATCGTTTTTTGCTCAGGCAAAGCGACTTGCTACTCCATAAATTTATATGATCCAAAATTTGACTAACGCTACCCTTGACTTGTTATTCTTACGCAGAGTGGGCGATGAACATCGTTCTCAAACCAGTACTATCGGCGAATCACGACGCACAGGGACCAACAGCTCCGGGACATCAGCCAGCACCGCCACTGGTATCTACTCCTCTGCCTCCAGTATTGATGCCCGATATATTGAAGAGTTGGAGAATGACTTTTTTGCCCTCGAAGACAAACACGATGCTCTGCTGCGGGAACGAGAACTGCTTGCTTCGGAGCTGGAGACAAAAGTACGAATGGTGGCCGACTTACAATCCACACTAGAACAATATCGAGAAAAGGTAACGCTACTCGAACGGCGCTGCATACATATGGAAGAAGAGATCAAAAGTTATCGGTAAGCTTCTGGTTCCCGGTAGATTAGACATCCAGCGGATTCAATAGCCCCTTGACTGAAAAATTCTTTCAGCTCCTAAAGTCAAAATCACATGCAGTTACAATGAAACCACAAATCAACTTTGAATATCTTCATATTGTATTAGAAATCCTACGATTACTCTAGTGACCTACAATTTTTCATGTTTTGTGTCACTGCAGCGAACGCCTTCGTTTACCAGAAAGCGATCAGAGCCCACCTTCACACGACCGCCTGCCTACAGACGGGCAGGGTGACGGCACATCGAATGGAGCAGGAATGGGTGACTTGGCCTGCAGCGGTGAGCTGCAACAACGTCTGAACGAGGTGGAACAGCTGTGCCAAGAGGTGATGGAGGAGAACGAACAGCTCAAAGAAGAGGTTGAAGAAATGCAGCGCGAGATAGAGGAAATGCACGATCATTTTCAGGTAAATTTTATTTCGAGCTCCATTTTCTAACCATCAGAAGTGAGGGCCAAAAGCATCTCCTACAGTGGTCACATTTTGATCGTGTAATCGGTTTTACTTCTTACACTGTTCGCATCCGGGAGACCTTGATAGTTTTGTGGAGTTCGGAAAGTTGAAGGAAAGCCAGTTTATAGTGTTTCAAGACGTAAAAGTGATTCCAAGAAGAAAACGTGGAAATGAGTCGATCGACCTGAAGCCAGGTGTGTAACGACACCACAAGAAAAATAAAACAGTGGTTGTTTGAGGTGTTGGAGACACTGAACTCGAAAAAAAACGTCATCTCAAAACACATTTATTCCCCAATATTTGTGCCCACCTCTTAATCTGCTCCAGTTATACTTCCCACATCAGTTGACTCAGATCATCTCGTTGCTTTCATGAATGCCAAACAGAGAACATGGTCGCTTCTACTCTAACAAGACGTGCACCGGCAGTTTTCAAAACTGACATCTTGCTCCCTAACGTCTTGCAGCCATGCCATAAGTTAAGCTTTTGGACTTGTGGTCATAATAAACTCTTGGTTTGCACCCCAGGTACTCGGCGGAAGAGAGCGGCAGCTCTCCACCTCTGCGCCAATGACGTCCAGACAAACTTTCATTACGTTATACTAATCGTTTGTTCATATTTCGAACGACAACAAGGAGAAAAAATATGTTCAGTTGTTAGCAGACCTTAAACGGATAGACGTCTTTCAGTGACGTCAGAAATCTCTCAGGTTTACCTCTGTGAAATAACCGCCAGTGTGTCTTGTGAATTGGACCTGCCTTTAAAATTGATCAGTTTGTGCATGGCTATCAAAACGCGTAGTTCCTATGAAACTCTCCACGTATTGAAGCTGGATAATAATAGTGTGTACCAATATAACACACATGTGATCTCGAAAACATGCTTTCGAAGTGAGGAGCACAGAAATGTGAGCGAATTCACACAATTCCCTCTCTGACAAGCCAATCTTCTAAACACCAATGACCGATTTCCAAACCAATCAGGAAGCCCCGGGCAGCACGCGATGTTGCGTAACCAACAGATGTTTCGATCTATTCTAGAAGAGAGTGAATTAGAGAAACAATATCATATTTTGGGGAGATTGTAGAAATTTCTAAATAGAGACTGACGTCACCAGTCGGGGGCGAGGTGGCTCAAGTGGTTAGAACACGAATTTACTGACCGGAAGGTCAGTGGTTCGAACTCGACCTCTGCCTCTCGACTTCCCTTGTCTAGGCTTGGACAGCCTGACAGTATTCCAACCCTCATGCTTCCTTCGGGCAGTGTGGCAGTTAGGCAGCGAAATGGTGTTACAGGTGAATTATTATTAGTATATCATAAGGGGAGGAGCATTTTGGACCTGAAATCTTATGAGCAATAGAGTTGCCCTTATTAGGCAAATTTCGACAAGCTTTCTAATGGCATATCATCTCCTCAACACTATTTCGCTCACGCCGTAAACTCATTCGATTTCAGGAGGACGATAGAGATGCTATGCGGGAGCTTCAACGTGACCTTGAAGCAGCAAACAAGACATGTCGCATACTTCAGTTCAAACTACGCAAAGCAGAACGTCGCTTTGAGCAATGCGAGTCGGAAAGGGCGAATCTGGAAGAACGATTGGCGCGGCTAGAGGCCGAATTGTACAGTGAAGCAGACGTAGCCCACATTAGAAATCTTGAGGTAGGTTCTACGCCGTGAAGGTATCGAACTATTTCCAACACAATTTGCTGTCCCTGACTCTCAGGTCAAATACTACCTCTCACATTAGGAGGAGATTCGAGTGGCCAAAGAAGTTGGCGTTCGCCTAAACAATGAACTGGACATTTTGGATGAAAAACGTGCATTCTACGAACAGGAGAACCACCAGTTGAAAGAAGAGCTCCAAGCTTGTCACAATCGGCGGATTGCGGTGGAAAATGAACTCGGACGGCTAAAACTTGAAGTTGGTCCTATTTTGCCTCCCTGTTTGAAGAGATAACCAGTAGTATAATGTCCTAAAGTTTTTAACAACACAAGAAATTAACTCAGTTTTCTTGTAACACTGAGCACGAATGAAAGTGTTTTAGTAGCAGGATCTGCTCATGTGCCGCGCAACTAGGCATTTAATCAAATTAGTCAACAATCGATCGTTGACCTTGTGGAAATCATATGTCATTGAAACCTCATCCGAGAGAAGGCATTGAGACAAATTCATCACCAGTCACCAAATCCCTCAGAGGAATCTGGACGCATTAAGGAGAATTCTATCAAACGGAGGGAAACTTGATAAGAGACACGCTTCATTCATGCGTGGTCCTATGCCTCCCTGTTGAAGAGATAACCAATAGTGGAATGTCCTAAAGTTTTTAACAACACGAAATAGTGTAGTGTGTAATGTGTGAAGGTAGCCACTACTGTCAAACCAAGTCATTCATACTCCTTTGTGTCTAGGGATGTAACTGATGATCACCAATCAAAGTTTGCTAATTCCTTGGCAGAAACGCCAACACATTACGCTGACGCAAACAGCTCATCCTGCGAGACACTGGACTGGACAGAACTAGTTGAGAGCTTCTAGAGTGATTAGGACAAATCTATACAACAGAACATATCGCAGCTAAGCTCAGTATCTCTGCTTGCAGTAGCACACTACTGGCTGAAGTGTAAATGCTAATGAAAATATTGGATCCAACACAACTGTACCCTCAGGTCTCTTCTACCAGCCACTCGTCGAGAAAGAGAGCGTACTTTGGAGGCCCGCTTTGTAGTGGAACCTCATACATCCTGTGCAACGTTAAGGCACAATTCATGGAGATAGCGCTTGGGATTGATTCAAGTAACCATCTAGCTGATAAAGGTATTGTCTTTGTAATCTAAGTAAAGCCAAACAGACTTGTTTAACCAAAAGAAAGGATGTTACGAAAATCTTGGCCTGAAATTAATTTTACCGGGACACTGACCCGCGATCCTACATGGCTGACACTACGTCGGGGGCACTTCTTTCATGAGGTATCACATGACTTAGTTTTATATCGGTGAGACATCGCATCGCAAAACCCTAATTACCTGAGAGATTCAATCCTGGGATGATCGGTCTCTAAATACAAATTACTTAACTGTGCGCTGGCTTTTTCTCTCTCGAAATTTTATCATCTTTGAGCTTTTAGATCAATTGCTCAGGAAATTTGTGTAAGCTCAACAATTGCACCGTACCACACCTTTTGTCTTACTCTAGCTTTTCAAACAAAGTGATTTAATAAGAAACAATTACGTAATGAATCACGACTTTGATTACCATGAAGAAGGCCACTCCTTCAAGGAACAAAGTCCGATCGCACTTCTCAAAATGTGGTCAAACTTTTTAGTCTCCTCACAAATCAATAATCGGAAGATAGACAAGACCATAAGTATCAGGTACAACCACTCAGTGTGGTCTGCCTTACCCTCGATGAGTCTATGCAAACGCACACCAGATATCAATTCTATAGAGATGCAGCTAACCACAGAGCTAACTTGACGCTGTACATAAGTGAAAAGTCGGGCACAGTAACGAACGTACAAAATCGACTCATTAAGATGCCCAACTTTACGTCTAAGTGACAAATGTCTTGTCTCGTGCATCAGGACCCACGTAGCCGCGCTTCAACTGGCACACAATTACCCTAACTTGAGGATGGTGTTGTCAGTAGTGCGCTTCCGACAGTAATTTGGGTTGGATGGTATTCAGTTGTACTCGTCCTCGTTTCGGCACACTACATTGTTGTTCGACTATCGATTGGCAAGTTGGCACTCGTTTCTTCAACCAAAGTTCCTATGCTTGCATGTTTGACAAACGTAAATCCCACGGTTGTCTGCAGAAATTAACTCAGTTTTCTTGTAACACCGGGCACGAATGAAAGTGTTTTAGTAGCAGGATCTGCTCATGTGCCGCGCAACTAGGCATTTAATCAAATTAGTCAACAATCGATCGTTGACCTTGTGGAAATCATATGTCATTGAAACCTCATCCGAGAGAAGGCATTGAGACAAATTCATCACCAGTCACCAAATCCCTCAGAGGAATCTGGACGCATTAAGGAGAATTCTATCAAACGGAGGGAAACTTGATAAGAGACACGCTTCATTCATGCGTGGTCCTAAGAAGATTTTCAGCCATTATGATTCTGGTTGTCAAATAGCGACAAGCTTGTGCAAAACTTCACCCAGGCCCACTTTTAGCAACAATGAAGAAAATGCTCTACCTTTGTGTACTGGTTTTACTCGAGGGAGTATACCAGGAGAGAACCACGAACTAAAACGGGTCAGTATTTTTGGTGCTAATTCCGTCAGATCACACGACCATCGCCGCGAACCAAAATTTCCTGCAACTCGGAGTTCAACACGAATGCCCAGTTCTTGATCACCCATTTATGGAACTGTCGGGGGATGCAAACAGTCGATAGTAATCCATGGAAGGTTCTTTTGGAATTTGTCCCATGCATCAGTACTCTTCTGCACGGTGATTAAGGTCGTTTTTTAAACGATATTTCAAGTTTTCGCCGAGCCATTTTTAGATAAGCCGACGTTGAAACTGAAATTACGCTAATGTGCAAGTATGATTATACATATACATATATAGCAGAGGAATCAAGCGAAAAATCACTGTCCACCTAAGGAGCTTTCGTGTACCCCAGGATCGACCCCCTCGAGAGTTTAATGCCCCCGGACATAGTATCTTGAAAAGTGTCTTGGAGATCTGTATCTCAGGTTGTGAGTTGCATGATTTACTAGCGTTAGATGAAGTGCCATAGCTCCACTGGACCGGGTCTCGCCAACCCAGTACCGATCGATAGTTAGTCTCAGAAATAAGCTGCCTCGCTGATAGCACTTCATGTTCTTAGAAAAGCGATACAATTATTGTAAATCATTTGGACACTCGTATCTAGTGAAAAACTACAGCTGGAACTTGTTCCCTTCCGAGGCGGTGCTTTGTCCACACACGATGTATCAGTCGAGCGCCTGAGGCTGAGTACCATTCAGCACACAAATAGTTAACTATCAGTTGACAGTATCCGGATTACCGGTCTGGAATACTGAACCACTGAGATGAGTCAGACAGACCCGACTGGAACTTTGCCATCGTATCAGCGACTAAAGCTATTGACCACGTGCGATTGCATGTACACGATTTGTTTCGCCTGCTTTTTGAGATGAGTCAGAGAGACCCGATCGGAACTTTGCCATCGTAGCAGCGACTAACGCTATTGACCACTTGCGAATGCATGTACACGATTTGTTTCGCCTGCTTTGGTGTTAAACAATCAAAATAAAACTGACATCCTCAAGAATGAAGCGCAACTGCACCCCGGAGAACTTTGCCACTCCACGGCTAAGAAGTAAACGAGACACATCAATTACTGGGTAGTTGTGTAAATCTTCGGCAACTCTGATGATTTATTCGTGATCAGGAAGAAATCCTAGCATAAAAGAACAAATTTGGTTGATTCCATAGCGGTTCTTTCGGATGCGCAACAGTTGCCGGCAAATTTGAACGAAGGAGAATAGACCAATCAAGCAACGAGACATCAGTTCATGCACAAAATATAAAACAAAACAGAGTGAGGTGTATAAAGATACTTGTGGCATGATGGAGCACATATATCACAGTCTTGGGCCAGTTTTGTTTAGCATCTTGGTTTCTCAGTCTTGTTCAGCCAGGAACAAGGCTTTTTGGGACCGCATTTAAAAATGCCTTTGTTTGTGTGAACTAAGCTGAAAGAAAACGTTCATTGAGTAGACAAAACGGTTCATTTAACCTGGATTGGTTACAGTCGACTTTATCTGGAATAATTACCTGGCGATTTGAATAAGATAATGACGGGCGCATTCTCCATAGTATGTATCTCGTCGGTCAAGCACATGATAGTAAAAATTTTTCACTCGTTTTCCACATTGTCAGGCTGAAAAACTCAAAGCCGAACAGGGTATCCTTGATAAAGGCCCCTTGCAAGTTACGGACCGAAGTAGAGTGAGTCTATTCCGCACCGTTGTTAGCACGTTTATTGGTAGCGTTGTGATTAGCATAACTGCAGTGAAATATTGATCTGTTTTGAAAGTAAAACTGAATAAATGCCATTATTTGAGGGATGAAGTCGTGACGTTTTCATTACACTTGAATTGAACTGTGATTGTTCCGCTTATACTAATATGAGAATTCTTTTCCATATGGCGCCAACTGCTTTACACTCGTCAACGATCCGATAGCTGGTGGAAGAAACAAGCGAGTCTCTAGCAACCGCTCCGACAGTAGCTTGAAGGTGGCCAATTTAGGCCCGGTCCGTATGACTGAAAACTGTCAGTGAGTACCAGAGATGTGGCGGAAGCTCTTCGAAGACTTTCTGTGCTTGACCGTTGGTGCCTTCGAAGCTTTCTGATATGAACATCAGGTTAATACTGCTGGGTTTTTCGGGGATGTTGACTTTGTTTCGATGGCTCAGCTGTTCAAACTCCATGAGTTACGCTGCTTGGGCCATGCAATTGGCATGCCAAAGGACCCTTTGCCTCTCAATGCCTTCTTAACTTGGTGGCGGTATGTGTACCTCGGAGACCCCTTGAGCTATACTGGAGAGTGTCCGCACGATGCTCACAGAGTCTCTCATCCCAGGTTGGTCCATGGATAGAGTTCTGACGAACACAGTCTCCTGGCCCTTCAGGTTTGGGGTTGGAACATGTATGACGACGTGTTCCGCAAAAATGGCAATGTACTTGCATTTCCAGCCCAACACCGCTGCCTTGCGGTTAGGCTTT